GGAAAAAAAAAAAAAAAAAAAAAAAAAAAAAAAAAAAAGACATTTCTATATATTTCTTTCTACTTGGCCGATTGACAAAATTCAAATTGCGTTTTTCATGTCTCGAAAGCGCGACTTAGGACATATGTTAGATTAATATATAGCAATTGTTCTAATATAGGTATTTTGACACAAAATAGGACTTTTTCTGAAATGACATGACATTTGTTTTCCATATTTCCATTCTTAGATTCAAATTGTGCCTAAATAAATATTAAATTTTGCAAAATTTGGTGCGAAATTTAAAGAGAAATTCAAAAAAACTTTATCTTGGCGCAATTTTTTTTAAAATTTGATCCAAGAATAATTCACTTGGCGAACTTCTTAATTATAGCAACCTATTTTTTTCCCCTTTTTTTCATAACACTTGAGAGGAAACAAAAGTCATTGTTTATAGTTTCAAATAATTTTAAAAGAGTGCGTAAAATAAAAAACAACATCTGGCGTTACTATCGCTTATAACATATATGCTAAATTTCAAAACGCCCCAATATGTATTCTATATATATATGTATATGTAATTCATGTATATCTTAGAAAATTTTAAACAAAAATTTCTAATGTTTAGCAGGTATGCTTAGAAATACATCTACTTTATGATGATCGTAAAAATGTTATAGGTTATATTTCAAAAGTTTTCGAAAAATTTATAAAAAGTATTTAAAAATACAAATTTTTAAAATAAATCATAAAAAATGTACGAATTATATTTGGATTATGTCTAAGTTAGGTTATTTAATTACGGCAAAGCCTCGAGGGGCTATCTGCCTAAGGGGAGGGATGCCTTCGTGGAGGACTTTCTAAGGGAAACTGGCTCGTATACACGTTACACATGGGGAAAACCACGAAAACACCAATGCAGCCAGCCCGTTCTCGGGATTCGAACCTCAGACCGAACTACCAGTGTTCAGCGACTTTACCGCTCGGCCGCTGGTGGGCTGGATTATGTCTAAATTTCAAACTCTGAAAAAAGGAATGAGGTAATTTTAATAAAGAAAGAGATATTATTAAATATAGTATATCAAATTCAATTAACATTGAGGAGTTAAAATTTCGAGAGCTAATTGTTTAAAAACTTTTCTTGCGATTTTTACAAGGCTTGGCACTTTGGCATAATGAGTCTTAGAATCTAAATATGGAGAAAAAATTGGCATGTTATTTCAGAAAATGTCCGATTTTGCGTCAAAATATATGCATTAGAACAATGCTATACATAAATCTAATACATATCCTAAGTCGCGCTTCGGAGATGTGAAAAAGGCAAATTGAATTTCGTCAATCGGCTCAGTAGAACGGGAGATATAGAATTGTCCCCTCCCTTTTTTTTGTCCCGCAGCGTATCTTTCAGTTCAAGGGTTGTTTTAGGGTTTGCAGTGCTTTTTCTAGATACGACTGATATTGGCTTACCATCACTTTTTTCTGCATCATTTTCGCTCTCTATTCTCATCACTTTCTCTCCTGCCTTAAAAACTTTCTATAATATTATAAGGTATTTCTCACACTTTCCTAGCGTGTTTTCGTGGTGTAGTGGTTCTGCACGCTGGTCTGGTATTCCACCGGTCCGTGGTCTGATTCCCGGCGAAGGCGTTTGCTATTTTTCATCTTTCCTGCTTCCAAAAATATACCTTATGTTTTTGAAAAAATACCTTATGTTCAAAAATATACCTCTACAATATCACAGCCATTTTTTAAACATGTTTTCTCAACTTTGCGATCAGTTGACAAATATTCTAAAAATGAATCTTCATAACTCTTCTCACTGATGTCTGAAACATTAGTTATAAATTGCATCTCCTCTGAAGTCTGTTATACGTAAAAGCCACAGTTTCAAAAACAGTTTTTAATTGTGCCATAATAGATTGACTCCGCTGCATTTGCTATAATATGCAGAACCTCTAGGAAATATATCGAATTCGATATACCCAAGAAGGTTTCTGCCTGGAAGTAACATGCATGAAATCCAAACATTTGCTCGTTAAATTTACTGAAAATTATTTTAGTGATAGCCTAGATTACTAGGTTCGTTTTACTTAATCTTGTATTTGAAGTCAATAATATATAAGCTTTAAAATTCTTATGAAGTTAACCCATTTTCTAACTTTTAGTTTAGGATCAGTTTAATTCAGATTAATTCAGTTAAGAACAACTGCGTTCAGTTCCCCAAATTCTTTCTTTCCATGTCATTTATTATATTACTATTCATTAAATCCTTGCTGCAAATGTACTGTTGACATATTTATTTTTAGCTTCAATATCTTGTTAACTTAGTATCAAGATGACTAATCTGTCGACTATTTGACCTAGTTTCAATCTCATTGATATTTGCATAACGTTTGTATCAATTACCTATAAAAATTATTTTCGTACGTAATTCAATTACACATAGTAAACACAATCACATTGCCTGATTTCAAGATATCATAAAGTAAAAATTTATTTCATAAGCTTATCAATCTGATATCTGCGAATAAGTTATTGCGCAAATTTTTCTTCTCTTTCTTTCTGAGAATCGCTAGGCATAATCCTTATTGCTATTATGCAGTGACATCCAACGGAGGTCCTCTTCACAGCAACAAAATTGCTGGGTATTTGTAAGTTGCAGTAATAAGCATTATTATTAGTGTACAGTGAGTGCAAAATAAATTTGACGTTGAATCGCTTACATTTAATCAGACAGGTTGCATCAATGATCACAATAAAAGGACCTTCTGGCCGACTTTCCGTCTTGAAGTAAAATGTTGATCAAATGACCTAAATGTCTGTGACTTTTTATGGGGGGGGATGCTGTAAAGATTTAAGCGTATGCATCTCCACTGTCCGTAATAAAGAATGATTTTAGGAATGCAACACCACTGCTTTCACCTGTACCATACACCTTCCCTCCCGGGGGTTGACTCAGTCGAACGCCTGGGAGGTACTTGTTAGGATCTGTACCTAGGCAGTCTCAACCACGAGGGGTATATAATTTGACTTCACAGGACTGGAGCCCGAGTATTGTACTCAGGTTGGTTCAGGCTTGGCAGGGACCGTACTGGTACTGTCGTCTCTGTTCCTTCGGCTGTGGTGGAGCTATATGGAGGATTTGTCGACTGAGTTCCCGGGAGTTTGACTCCATTAATTTCTCGTGGCGGGGACTGACAAAGCGGACAGAGTGGAATCTACAATGTGGTTATGCTGATGGAGTGGTGCGCGGAGGCAAGGTGCCAGAGTTTTTCAATAGCAACGTTTTTGTTCTGCCCAATGCTTCGTAAAAGCCGGGCGGGGACTGCGATGGTTGCGCCAGCGGAGAACGAAGTCCCACGGACGTTAGATATCCAAACTCTGAATGGGTCCCGTATAATGAGGACCTGGGACGGAGGTCCTTCGTCTGGTGTGTCTGTATCATACACCTGTACCATACCTTTATAAATTATAACTGTAGCTAGATTACTGCAGTGATGTCTCCGGTGTAACAGGTGTCGCAAGTATCGGATATATTTTATGTGATTCAAATCAATATCAGCAAACTTTTATGAGCATATGTAAATATAGCAAAAGACAGAGTAAAATAGTCTCCTAAATATTAAAGTTACATCCTTCTAAAACTAAAAGTTTTTTTTTTTTTTTTTGCTCGCCCTATGTAACTATTAACTGTTTAACTAATAATCAGAATAGGTATGTTTCGCAACAACCAACGATGCCGACTACGGTGGAAGAAGCTTCAGGATGTAAACGGAAGTTTCTAATAGGTGTACTACAAACTACGAATCCTCCTGGGCATTCTGTGGATTCTGTGGCATAGGACCACTCACCGTTATCTAATCCCACGTACTCCAACAAATGCTCAGTAGGTTTATAAGGTATTTCTCCTTCTTAGCATGACTTCGCGGTGTAATGGCCAGCAGGCTCGACGCGTATTTGAGAGGTTCAAGTCCCGGCGTGAGCACTGCTCATTTTTCATGTCTCCTGCTTCGAAATAACCTGATGTTTCTACAGGTTTAACCTCATGACTAGGCAAAGTACCTGCCCGATAAATGCACCTGCCCTCCAGAAACCCGATTATCACGTATAAATGTAACCAGATACAAAGTCTTTCATATTTTAGCTCATCGTAGCCACCGATTATCACGTATGTGATGCTCAAAGGCTGAGAAATAATTATTGTATAGTCTAGGAATACCAGCAGTTAAGAAGTAGTGAAGATAGTGTTAGAATTCCAACTTTCCAACAAGTTTGTTTTCCAACTTTTCAGGCCTAAGGCATTTATACCCCTTACTTGAGTAAAACAAATTATGATTCATTGGAGAAGTGCAATTTTTGGGGGCCCAGTCTCTGTACTGCTGTAAAATCTTTCTCGGCTGCTTGCGTTGTGTAGCAATAGGCACGAAAGCTTTCATTAATTGTCCGAAATGTAATCGGTGGCAAGATTTCTTTGTATGATTGTGCTGCCGAAATTCTAATCATGAGGAAAACTAAATGATCCACATGAACTCGTCAAGCAAATCTGACTGTGTATAAATAGCGATGTGTGTGCGACTGCTGCATTCAATAATTGTCGCAATAATGAGAGCCAACGCTACTTTTTCATTTACAAGTGATTTTTCTTCTTAACACTGATATACCGCAAATACTTTTAAATTCGAAACATAAAAATAATCTTATGTATTCTAAGCATTCCTGATTATCTTTGAAAACAATAATTGCAAATTACAGGTATACCTGACATGGTTTCCACTCTTCAGTTTATAATGAATTTCTTGTTAATATGAATTATAAAAGCTCTGATTTATATTTTTTCCTACTCGCTCAGTAGACAAACTTCATAGACTGTATGCCAAATACTTCTCTTCTTATTATAATTAGTAATTTTTATTTTCCATTGTACCGTAAAGTTTTTGTTTAGATACATATTAAAAATACTTTTTCTTTATATTCCATTCCGGATGTTTCTTGTGATATCTAAAGCCTTTTATTTCATCTAGTTCTAGATTCCAGTGGGAAGATAATGAGTGGGATCTTGACTGGAACTATAAGTGATTTTGGATCTTACGAAGAATGTGTAGATACTGTACTGAAGGACAATAAAGATGAAATTATCATTAAAGGTCAGTATTGCAACATTCACTTGCGCCCGCCTATGCCAACTGCAGATCCTAACGTCAAGATAGGAGACATTCCACCCCTTCTAAAAAACATCTCGGAAAAATCCCCTGTGAGTATAAAATTATTTATTACAATGTTAAACATATTTCAATCGAACTTGTTCTGTGCTCTTGCTGTTGATAAGAGTAATGAATAATATAGAATTTGATAACGTAGAGCAAAGAAAGAGGAATCAAATTTTCATTTCCAACAGTATTAGTTAAATATGCATATCATTATTTAAATATGCATACATTAAAATCCCCAAAATTTCATGTTTATGACTTTTGGGATTCAGCTATAATGTGCCCGTTATAAACAATCGTTCTTCTAAACTCGGTTAGGATTAATGCAAAGAGTGATAATTCATTCAAATTTTTAAAATATGCATAATGTTCGAAATATTTTTATTAAGTAAATTTTTAATAACCGTTTTAAAGAAAGTAACTTTTCGTAAAAATTATTATGCAGAACATTCGGTGATATAATACAGTTTTTAAATTTACAAAGGATGTTTACGCGTTTATACAACGTTTAAGTAAAGCATTAAAAAACAGCAAATGTTTTGGAATAAAATATTCTGGCAGCAACTTATTAGTTGAAATGAGAAATGCCGTTTGGTGTTTTTAAATTGTTTTCTCTCTTTTAAAATTTCGCATGTAAATAAGCTGTGGATTGGAAAATTTGTTTTAGAGCTTTCTGGAGAAAAATATTCCTTTTCTATACAAAAGCATTGTGAAATGCATGATTTTAAAACTTCTAAACTCAAAATAGGCCACATGTTTAGGCGGAATGGGATAAATCTTGTAGAGACATTAGGATTAATTGGAAAAGCTGGAGAGATGAAAATTAGCAATCGCCTTCGCCGGGAATCGAACCACGGACCTCTGAAATACCGGCTCAGTGTGCTGACTACTACACCACGAAGGCACGCTAGGAAGCCGGAATTTCCTCTTTACCTTATATACTCCTCCTTTTAAAGGGCGACTGGGGTTTTACGACTCTTCATTACCTCAATGCTACTGAAAATGTAAACGTTTTGAATTAGAATGCCAAGTTGTGCGTGGCCGCAACATGTTTTTTGAAATGAAGATGAATATTTAAATAGCTCCGGTTGCCAAACTTTCTCTTCGTTGTGGATCAATATTCTGTGCATTCAATATATCTACAACAACATCACTTCTAAATTTGCTTCGTTATATATTTATATATAAGGGGACATAAAAATGTGTCATAATTTTTGACACATTTTAGAATATTATATCAAATTAACCAAATTGTCATATCATAGTGCAATTTGCACTTTCTTTTTTCTTACCCCTCTCGCCTTTCAGACAATATATTTTAATCAATTTTTGGTTAATATTTGGATTATGGTAACTTGGCGATTTTTTGGCGACCAACCCTGCTTCAGCAACCTGCTAGTTTTTTTTTTTTTTTTTTGGACGCCATTTTGTTTTCACGAAGCAAAGGCTTTTTTTTTTTTTTTTTTTTTTTACACTCAACATTTTTTTACAACAATCTCCTAGCCGAATTACGCTTATGCTAGAACTTTTATGGAACAAAAGTGCTTAATCATGACGAAGATTAGGTGCGAAATTGGGAGAAAGTGCAGAATCGTCCATGCTTGCTGCGTTTTTAAGAATTGCACATACCGGTATCATCCATGTACACGTCGACCTATTTTCACTTAAAAAAACATCCCAGAATTGCACAAAAATGGCACTGCGCACACTCTTGACTTTATCCATGTACACTGCTGAAGTCCTAGCTAGTAACCTTTATCGCCTTACCAAAATGTCGCAAAACTACCTGTTACCATATTCCAAAGATTAGCCCAATTTTTCACCGATAAATCACGCTACACATTAAAATAAAAATTCGCAAAGTTAAATCTTTTAAAAGAAGATAACTCGGAGCTCTTGATGGACTGCTAATGTAATTTTCTTTCAAATGGAAAAAGTAATGTACAGTACAAAATAGTTTACCCAATTTCCATCTCAAATGCACTGTGAACAGTGCCATCTCTTGGTGAAAACGTGCACTAAAATATATCTTGGGTGAAAAAAATTCCGCATCACCCAAAAGGTTAAAGTTTTCTTCTTATTTTTTTTATACTCACTGCAACTATTATTTATGTAGATTGTAACTAATCTATATTTGTATATGAGCCTTTATTTCCTCATTTTCGGTTATCTATGAGCATGTTCTTTCAAACCGTATATTTGACACAAATTTTTTTGTTGATAAATTTATTTGATGCAAATTTATTTGTATATAAATTTAAGAAATCTAAATTGAAATTCGAAATTTCTCTTCCAGCTAATGAAAGAAATTGCAAAATACTCCAGTTCGTTCAATTTTATGTCTTTACGATTGGGTATTTGTGTTCCATCTGGTTGTGAAACAGAGGATGTTGGGAAAATTCTTAAATATCGTAAGTACTTTATTATCATTCTCGTATCATTCTTCCATGCCTCATTTGTGGATTATTAACTCAATATTCCTTTACTTTTAATCTGAAATTTCAGGATTTCTGTATTAATAATCGTATTAATATTTCCGTATTTTATCGCAAATACATTCTTTTATTTAATACACGGAATTTTATAAATATTTTAATGCCTTATTTTATGATTTTAGAATATTTATGATTTAAAGCAAAATATTTTATGAATTTAGAAAGACTTTAAATTTTATTTGGAGAGAAAAAGAACGATGATAAGAAATTTATATGAAATTAGAAAATGTGATGGAAAACGTAAAATAAAATGCTTTATATATTACAGAACTAAAACTGTTAGACTACTTCAGGAATTACAAATATTTGGATCATTCATAATTTCTTATGTATAAAATCACTGCTCAAATAAAGATAATAAATTTATTACATTTGTTATTTTTTGTAATGGAGATATATATACTGTTAATTTTAAACCATGATTTTGAATTATTGCACAATATGCAAACTAGAGAAATTGTAAACATCCTACATCTTTCTGTTCGGACAATCTTTTTAATATCGGGTTTCAATTAATAAGATTTTTCGTGCTTCCTTTAAAAAATTACATGTCTTCTTTCTAGTACTATGCTATTATTTTATTATATTGCACTTTAAATTAGAAGTAAGATTTACACATTAAAATATAAAATTGTTTAAATAGTGAGATAGTTTTGATCAGTTAAAACAAATATGCAAGGAATTCACTTGTTCTTATGCATATTTTATGTTTTTCTAGTCGGTGATATGATCAACTTTGATACGTACGTTTCAAGGTGTGAAGTAAAAGAAGAACTGAAATTTAGCAAAGAAGAAATTGTGTCCTTGTAAGGCTTTATTTACTTTTGATTTAAAGAAATAACTCGAGCATTATCACTAGCTTTACATATTTGCTGAAAACAATATAAAATATATGTATGATAAATGATTCGCTTTATACTCAGAGTAATGCTGAAAATTATTTGTATGTTGTCAAAGATAAATTTTACGTGACGTTGCTTTTATTCAAAACAACTTCATAAACCATTCACTGAAACCTTTTGTTAATTAACTTACTAATATGAAACTATACCCTACTTTGCAATATTAATTCTTCAGTTGTTCAGTTCATTGCTCAACTATAGTAAAGAGAATTTATTAAAGAAAATAATGCTTCAAAGTTGAGCCATAAAACATTTATAAAGACATAACCCTTAAAAAGCAATGTAATGCATGAATGCTCAGCATTGTAAATCGACTTTAAAGGACACAAAATTAGCATTTTTTACATTTTAATATGCTTAATTTAAAATTGTACATTTTAATTACCTCTAATTTCCGGAAAGAAATTCACCATAACTAGTATTCTCAAGTCTTAATCTTTCCTCTAATACAGCAATTCTCAAACAGGGGGAATTTCATTATTTCAATGGGTAATGCAGTCAGCCTCTTATTTACGTGTTAACTATTTAGTTTCAGTTTATGAATATAAAAACACTACTTTTATTCAAGTTTTGATATTTATCAACAGTTTCTATACCTTTTTCTCATTTAATTTATAAAACATAATAAAAGATAATCTAAATTTAAGCAAAGGCATATGTATTTTTCGTGTTTTATACCTGGATTTCCAAATTTATGATGTGTATATACAAGTCACATTTTGGCACTCGGGCGCACACATAAAGCTTGGCAGGAAATAATGACACAGAAGAGGTTAGTTGTTTTGGTCCCACATGTTTATTCAATTCAAATGGTAAATCATTATTCTTTTAGATTCCTCAAGATTACATTCGCGATAATAATTTAGACTAAAATGCGATTAACTTTAAATTTACTGCGTCATACTTTTCAAACAAAGAAGACAGACGGGAAGAGCGGCAGCGAAAGGGTTTTACAGCGGCAGGGGACGGAGAAAAGCAGTCTGACAAAAACTGGCTCGAATTCTTCATTTAACAGCAGCGATTACGTAACATACCAGAATGTTCTCGAAAGTACTGGTCTAGGGGGAAGATCCTGAAATTGCGGAAAGTTAATTAGAGGTTGCCTGTTCTCGTAGAGCAAAGTCATCGTATTTTTTACATTTTACATATATAAGTAAATATGTTCATGTTTATATTTACGTATTCTGTTTATTTGCATAATACCTTATTTATCTCTTTGTCAATATAAAACATACTTGTTAAAATAGCTTTAAAGCCAGGATAAAAAGAACGAAAATTAATTTTTGCTTCGATGAAATTCCGTCTCTCAAGAAATTCAGATGTCCGAGTATCAGAGAATGAAATTTCCCTTTTAAAATGTTTTTCTCGTGACCACTTATGTTATGTACTAGCAACATAACATTTAAAATACATTTAATGCATCTTATATCATTTTACTTTAAAATGAAGTTCTTTAATTTATCTCAAAGCATAATTATTCATGTCATTTAATTACTTTTCATGTAAACACTATCAGCATATCAAATTGTTTTACATGAGCCCACGCTTAAGAAGAATCTTTTCTGCTAATAGAACGATTTGCACTTTATTGGTTTTAAGCTATATTGTTTAAAATGTACGGATATCTTATATTTAGGTTAATATCGTATTTTTGCATTATTTTCATGATTATACATACATCATATAGCGATTTTTTTATGATTTTACTGTAAAATTTACCCTAATTTTTTTTTCCTAAATTTCAGCACCATAGTTTCTATTTTTGCAGCACTGATGATCGTTGGCACATTGACAGACATTTATTCTACTAAGATGAACGTTACTTTCAATAGTAAGTATATCCGCAAATTTAAGAGATATATTTTATATATTATATTTATTATGTATATAGTAAATATGTAAGTTTCGTTGAATTTCTCTAGTCGATTCCGAAAGTAAATTTTATTTATAAAAAAATGTAATTATTGGCGTAATCAGGAGAAAAATTGAACATAAATAATCTAATAATGGAAACATTTTATATTGCGTGAAATTTATGAAATGATAATTTTACCTCCTTTTCCAAGAAAAATGGTTTTATTCTATTATTTCTAAATGCATAGAACATTCATATACATTGAAAGAAAAAATTGAATAATGCTACTATTTGAATAAAAATGAAATAATATTTGTCAAAAAGAGTTCGTAATTGAGAAAAAGAAACAAATTTATTTACTTGCAATATTATTATGTCTTACAAAACAAAACTTCCCCTACGTCCTCTGACAAAAAAAATATGATTTTTTCACATATTATGCATTCCATAAACGTATGCGACTCTCGTAAACTGAAAATATGAAAGTGGTAGTCAGTTTTTAATCAGCTATTTTCCTGCTGCTTGATAGGTAGGGCATATGTTAAAATTAAATTCATTCCTATTTCCTACGGAGCTGAAAAATGACGCCTTGAGCATCTACTTATAAGAAATAGTGGTGGTTTCCCGAAAATTCCTAGACGCATGAATGACCTACGTTGTGCGAGTTGAGCGTTTCTGCAGCTTTATCGTCGACCTTCAGCAATGCTGACAACGTTGCTCTGGCGAAACTGCAGAAGTTCTGTTCCTTTTGTTTCCCCGGAAATGCAGGCGTTTTCTGTGTCAAGTCCACCAAGAAGAAGACCGTTGTTTCATCTCGAACCCAATGTCCCATAAGATCGATTGAAAACTATAAACAAGGCTTCCATTATCGATGACTATCCGAGGGCTCAACTCAAAGACTAATCCTGGCAGCATCTGCTAGTACTCTGTTATCATTACATTTCATTTCCTCTGTGATTATGGACCTTGGTTTAGTGGATGATCTGAAGTCACAGAGTTTCCCTTCATAATTTTACTACATATTTTACTGCGGAGTTTCTTCTAATGCGTTGAATCTCAACAGCTAATACCTAAGTATCTTTGATGCGCTGGATCTCAACAGCTAATATCTAAGTATCTTTGATGCGTTGGATCTCAACGGCTGGTATCATCAAAAGACAAAAACATTGACAGATCATCTGGGAGAACAAAAGTTGGATACAAGATCATAACACATACTTACTTTTCAACAGTGAGAAGCGATTACATTCCGATCGTGGAAGTGATAGCATTTGAATTAATTATGAAAGGAGAACGTCTTAGGTGATTGTAATGAATATATTTTTTTCACCCATAACAAATCCATATTATCCATATGTACCTTTATTTATCTTGCCACTGCTCAGTCATCTTCATTCCCAGCATGCCACTAAGTGCACGTTAAATATGCACATCTTAAATGTAAACTTTTATTTTTAATAAAATAAAATAAATAAATATTAATTTGCATACAGCTTCTTCAGACTCCAGTTTGATCCTAGGAGGATAATAAGTTCATTTTTCCTATAGGCTTTGTATCTGATGCAATATTCTTGAAAATGATAAAATAGAGGGTAAAACTACACTCTTTGCAAAAACATCGAAGCACCAAGAAGGATTTTTGCGATCGTGACGAAATTTGGCATGCAAAAACATCGTGATCGAACCTGCAAATGATCAAAGTTTCAAGGCAAATGAATAGGAGTTTCAATCATAGCGCGCAATTCGCAAAGTAGAAAACCAAAACAGAGACGGAATTTTTTTGTTTTTGTTTTTGTTGCTGCTACAGTAATTACGTAAAGAAGCAACTAAAGATGCCATTACGACGATATCGAAGACTCGAAGACCTTACAGACAGCTAAACGACTTCGAACGTGGTCGCATTGTAGCGTTGCGTGAAGCTGGGTGTTCATTTCGAGCAATAGGCCGCCACCTACAGAGTACAGACACTACTGTGCAAATATATTGGCAGCAATGGTTGCTACTTGGAAATTGCCGACGAAATGAAGGCTCTGGAAGGCCAAGGAGCAAAAATGCGAGGCAAGATAGGATGATTGTTCGCCAGGCCCGAACCGCCCCAACGGTATCAATGTCGACTATTCCAAGCACTACAGCTACGACTATGCTTCTCGTGGAACCGTCTACCATTTCACGACGCTTGTCTGAGGCGGGGTTACGCTCACGTGGGCCTTTAAGATGTTTGCCTTTGACCCCACAACATCGGCGGATTTGTCTTGAGTGGTGTCACAGCCTATCATCATGGCTGCCATCAGACTGGCATCATATAGTGTTCAGTGATGAATTTCGCTTCACTCTTGAAGCAGATGACCACAGTGTTCGTGTCTGGAGAGGACGGGGCCAGCGGTCCCAATCAGCCTTTGTTTTACAAAGGCATACAGCCATGACCCCTGTTGTGATGATGTGGGGCGCTATTTCTAATGACAGCAGGCCATTTTTAGTCATTCTCCTTACATCTTTAACAGCTCAACGATATGTTGATACCATCCTGCGGCCTGTTGCATTACTCTTCATGGTACGTCATCCAGGGGCCATTTTACAACAAGATAATGACAGGCCACATACCGCTAGCATATCTCTGAACTGTCTCCGAGCAGTGATACTCTTCCTTCGCCAGCAAGGTCACCAGACCTTTCACCAATCGACCATGTCTGGGGCATGGTAGGCCGCCAGAGCGACAACTGATGAATGCCTGGCAGAATGTGTCGTAGGATGACATTAGGAACCTCTACCACTCCTTGCCTCGACGAATTCAAGCATGCATTGCCGTCAGGGGCGGTTCGACCAACTACTAATTTGAACACTCAATGGGGGATTGCGAGCCGTGAACAGGTTCTATGACCTTGATTTTTCCATCATTTTATTATCTGTGTATGAGCTCTACACATATTCAGTTTCATCAAAAAGAACCACTTCCTTAACGGTGCTTTGATTTTTTTGCAAAAGAGTGTATTTTAGCTTTGAATTATAGGTATAGTTAGTTTACCCTTAATCTCAACCTACCATTTGAAACAAATTCCTTTAAATAGTCAGATATTTTTCTATCCCATTTATATCATAGCTTAAATGTCTGAGAATTTTTTAGAGTAACTGAATTTTTTTTTTTTTTTTTTTTTTTTTTTTTTTTTTTTGTTTTTTTTTTTTTTTTTTTTTTTTTTTTTTTTTTTTTTTTTTTTTTATTTTTTTTTTTTTTTTTTTTTTTTTTTTTATTTTTTTTTTTTTTTTTTTTTTTTTTTTTTTTTTTTTTTTTTTTTTTTTTTTTTTTTTTTTCTGACCCACAGGACAGATTTTTTTTTTTTTTTTCTGAATACCACAGAAAGAAGCGGATCTCGACAATTTACTGTGGTTTTCAGTTTTTACATTACAATTTTTTAATACAATTACAGATTATTGTTCCTTGCTAATTTTAAGTTAGCATAAGTTGTCAGCAGCGCAATTGTAGGGATATTGTTAATGATTGTTAATGCTTGTGTGCTTTCAGGATTTAAGCGTCTGCTTCGCGAAATTTTGCTTTTTTCTCGAGAGAGATTATTAGTAAAGAACAGAAGTTTAAACGATTTTCGCTTTTAATCAATGATTTTTATTGGATGATTTCGAATGTGTGTTTTAAAACTAAACTTTTTTCAACCTTAACTTTGCTTTCATTTTATTGATAAGTACCACCCACAGCTTTTTATGCTAAGCTTAATGAAAATTTGCTTTTTCTTTCATTTATTTTAAACCAATGCCTATGTCGCAGGTTAACTGAAAAATCCGGCTTACTGCAAACAGCGGCAATGAGCATGGCTAACTGTAAATTATCTTGAATCTCCTAATTAGTCTGATACCTTTTAGATTTACTGTAATGATCACGTATACCTTCAAGCTAAGTAGAAAATGTATATTGGTTTGTTTAAATAGCTTGGTTTCATCAAGGCTTATTGCAATACGCCTAAGGTTATGAACGCGTATTAAATAGTAATCCGATTAAAAAATTATTATTCTTTCAGTACTTATCTCAGTAGAATTCTAAATTTCTTATCATTTACCAGGATAAGGAAACAATCATTTAAAAACTACGCAACAATCATCTTTGTTTGAGGATTATTATAATCAAAAGTAATTATGTTCTATTCGTTGTTATTCATATAAATATTATGAAAATGGTTATAGTTATGAAAATGAAAATAATGATACAACACTGTACTAACAGTAGTAAACCAAATTCGAGTAATGTTTAGATGTTTAATACTGTTCTTACAGTTATCGGTGACCTGCCGTTGCGAATTTTCTACATCATTCTTTTTTATTTATTTCTATATAGCGAACTTCGACACCCCGTAAGAATTTCTTTGCAGATATTGTTCGTTAAGTCACAGATATAATTCCAAATTTTATTGCCACCGTGGTCTAATACACATAAAATTCTTTCAAATATTTATAATCTAAATTCTTTTTGTTAACAATAAACGGCAACAGCAAATATATTTTAAAAAAGCACAGATAAAAAAAAACAGAAAAAATATTCCATATTCGAAGTCACATTTAGTGAAGATGAGATATACTAAAGTGTGAACCAGCTTGAGAGAAGAAACAAAAATAATTATCTCAAGAATCAACTGCAGATGTACACACATAATAAATGAATACAGAACAGAAAAACTATTTATGTTTTCATACGGGAAAAAAACACGATAATGTAAAACTTAAAAGTAGAAAAAATACAAAGAAATACATACTTAGATTAATATTTAATTTACATGAAGCATTACTGACCTCTAGGGCGATTAATTTAGGTTCCTTTTGTTCCTACTTAAGGGGAACTGTATCATTCGTCCTATAATAATAGGTATGTGATCAGTCCTGTAAAAATAGGTCCTAAAAATAGGTATGCAATCTGAATTCTTTTTTTTTTCCATGAAGCTTTTAACAACTTATAAATTTCAAAGAATACTCAATGCATAATTATTTTTTTGTAAACTCCGTTTTTCCACTTTATTTCAGACAAAGCAGGTCGACTTCTGTTGGTCTTCTCCTTACCTCGGAACGTGAAAAAGCTTCTGAAGACACAAAACAGTTCCGGGCCTTTCAGTTGCTTACATGGCATTCGATTTATAACTACCTTATGGATTGTGTTCTCCCATTCTTACTATGTGCTTAACTATTATGCTCTAAGTAAGTATGTTCTATGAGATTAGTGTAAAACCTTAAAATTCGTAATGATTAAGGATATAGTAATTACATAAACATGAAATTAATTTTAATTCATCAGATTTTGCATATCATCACAGAAGTTTTGTTTCAACAAAAAAGTCGTAAACGACAAACTAAATAATACGAGCAATTAGAAAGCGGAAAATGGTGTATTTTTAAGAGCAAAAAATGAATGAAAACAGAATATTTATAATTTCTGAAGCGTTCACTAAAAAAATGGCTATAATTGAAAAGGTCAAAATATACGTACAATTACTCTTTTATAATTAGGAGTAGATCTATATATGACTAGTATGATTTGTATCTATCGACAAAACAGTCTGGTCATCTATAAGAAAACACAGCCTGTTTAGCTATAACCTGAGAATTTTCTTTTTTTTTAATTTTAATTCATTAATATACCTTGCGCCTTCTTTGCTAAAATGATTAATATTCGAAATAAGCTACTAAGCAACTCATCAAAGGTAGAAGTAGACTTCCAGAAAGAAATGCCATGAAATACATAACAGTTTCTGTTCTACGTAAATTAGATTTCTGAAAAAGCATTATTTCACCCTGTGAAGATAAAACTTTCAAAAATTTCTAGTATTGCCACCAACAGCTGCTTTGCTGACGACCATAGGTACTTAAAGTAGTGAACATGGAATAACTATTATAAAGGAGAACTGAGTGGAAACTTCTTTAATTTATTTGTTGCAGTCAAAGTATTTGTAATAATACTGATGAAATATTGAATCAGGATTATTTCTAAGCACCCTCTCTCATAAAAGCGATAAAAGTAATTCACTGTGTTGTACCTTTCACTTACATCTACTGATACACTATGAATAGCATAAAACATGCACTTCAGTGTTCAAACTTAAGAGAACAAACATGTTTTTCTAATTGTTTCAAAAAATACTAAACAAACACTAGACGGTCTGCAAAGAAATAGTAATGTAATCCTGCTAGTATCGACTATGCGATCGTACTGATGTAATTGATATGGATACAAGTGGTGCTTATGTAGGTATCGAATATGTAATCGTTCTCATCTTTTTGTCACCTTTCTCAATACATACCAAAAACTCTATGCAATTATAGGGAAATAAATAAAACTTTAGTATTTAGTTTTGAAACTTTCTAGAAGTTTGTTTCATTGCTCCAATTGCTGTTCTGTAAACATTATGACAAGATCTCTCAATAGCACAGTACTCATTTTTAGGTTTTAGTTGTTTCTTAATCAATTTTTATTTGAAAACATTCTTCTCATAACGAGCAGCACTTGCAGTTATTGTTAGGAAACTTAATGGCCAATTCCCAAGACTGTAATATACGACTTCCTAGGGGAATATCCACAAGATTTATTAAATTGAAATGCATCAACATGCTGACCAGCTATCCTCTCCTCGAAAAACTGTGAAGTGCAGAAATATTAGTAAATTGGAGTTACAGCAATCCCACGTTCAGCTTGTAAGATGGGTGAATGTAACCCTTAGTATCGTCTATAATTTTTTGGAACAGTTTCAGGAAATTGGATCCTTATCCGCAAAGAATGAGTAAGGGTACCCAAGAGCCACGACGCCTAATACTGAGTGGTGTTTAACATTTTCAGCCAAGATTTTGAGGCTATAGCCATACAGTTTTCTCGGAAACTATCCCTGCTACTAGATCTTTTTTTTTTTTTTCCAAAAGTTAGTATTTCCAAAAGACTTTATGAGAGGGGAAGTTTTGACAAAAGACCATTCCATTCAAGCATTCATATAAAACAGCACGCGTAGCTTAGTGCAGAAAACATTATCCTTGGAGCCAATCTGAGCGAAACCAAGTCCTGTTCACTGATGAAACTATATTAAGAATAAATGCTGATTATTTAGGCATCTTCATCTGTACAGAGTCTGTACTCAGTGCCATTCCTGCAATAACATAAAAAGAATCACTCTGAGGTGGAGTTGCCATGGTCTCAGCAGCCACCATTTTGGATGGCCTCCATGTGTTTGAGAAATGTTTCATGTCTGCTCAGAGATCAGGAGGAGCTTGCTCAGAGGCAGGAGATCTTAAAGAGACATGTCTTATACATGACATGTCATAGATATATTTTGTTCTTATTTCCTTTTTATGCGTGACAACGCTCATCCACATGGTGATCGTCGAACAACTTCAAAGTGAAGATATTCGGCCAGATTTCCACATCTAAAAGCGACTGAAGATATCTGTAATGCAATTGGTAAAGTAATTCCAGTTCAGTACTGCCACCAAGAAACATACAGTAGTTAAGATTGGAATGGATTTTATTGATTAGGACGAAGCACACTAGGGATTTCTGCCTAAGGAGAGGTACACCTTCAGAAAATACTTTCTAAGAGAATGTGGCTGTTACTTTCCTTATAAAATGAGAAAATTATGGAAGCACTCGTGGAACCATCTCTTCCGTTTCAATCTGAACCAGAGTAAAACTACCAGTGTCTAACTATCTTATCCCTCGCTCATTGTTAGGTTACGAGTTAAGATCTCCTTGGGTGTAGGACTAAGTGCGGATGTCGCCGGGACTCATTAACTACCTTATTAATAGTACAATCTCTTTCCGGAGTAAACGGTCTCATTGTACTTACCAGATCTTTCTCTGTACAGTACATTACATACATCAATGCCAATCATAGAATGATTGCATCAAAATGATTCTAGTAGATGATTATCTCCAGCAGATGAATAAATAAATTTATCAAAACTAAATCGACAAAGAAGCGAAATTCAAGAAAATACTGAAACACAATGTTTTACAACTTCATCTAATGGCAATGAATGTAATTTCAAACATGTACTAATTTTCAGTAATTATTACAGAACATTACTGGTTCATGTTTATATATCATTGGATATAAATCGATAAAACAGTACTTTTTTTTGTTACGAATATCGTTGTAAATGAATATTTGTTATTTGAATAAGCATTCTGTTTCTAACATACGTGATGAACGTGTATTTCTTCAAAATTCTCAACACCTGTTATAGTGTTACTAATTTCAGTCTTTCATTTATCGTATCTGTAATCAGTCTTTAAATAGAAAAACAACAACAAGCCAAATACATCAAGACTTTCCAATGCATGTCACACACAGAAGAGAAGAATAGAGTAACATCATGTTTTTGTACCATTCAAGGTATGAGCAATGAGTTGATAAGGAATTCACATGAATTAACATCTCATCGCTTGTTAAGGATTTGAACATCTCTGTAATAATCACATATGACAGAAATGTCATGAAATATGACAAAAATTTATCTTGTGTCAAAGCAATGCCTTTTTTAATTAATTTACTCTAGATGATCAGTAACTTGCAATTAGTGAATATTAATGGATTGTACAATATCTATTCATACTAATTAGATAATGGTGTATGATTCTGTTATTGCCGTTTTCTTCCGTCTGGTTCATTGTAGGTTTAAGTTTGTTAACGGTCCTTTGGTTTTTGCTGGAGGCGTTTATAGTTGCTTTTATTCAATCTGAACTTTCTTCTGATCGTCAATAAGTTCCGCCCACTTCATTTAAAAATTATGGAGACATATATAAATAATATTTTAAATTATGCACAATTATTTAATACCATTTTTGTGTATAAAAATAAGTATTTTGAAATTATAGCATATTTCTTGTCTTTTAGCGGGTCTACTCAAAACTATGACGATTGGCAAAGATATCGCTTTCCAAATAGTGATGAACGGGACTTTTGCAGTTGAAACATTCGTCTGCATAGGGTAAGCGTAGCATACTGCCTAATCTATTCTCTCTGTTTTTTAACTTGAAATCTTTACACTTTCAGAAGGGAAAGAAGTTTTTAAAAATAAATAAAAAAGATTAAAAAAATTAGTTAACAATTTGAAGAGATTTTATTCTAACCTAATACTTTATGAGTGATTTTACATTAAAACTTTTCGTAAAAAAATTTAAATAAATAAATGTAAAAGAAGTCATACAATCGACCTTTCTTCCAACATAAAAAGAATATGACAAAAGGCGATTTAGTCTCATAAGTCTCTTGTGAAAGCTATATAAAGTGTTTTAAAGTATTATTCCTAACAGAATGGTGAATATCTTTCATTTCTCCCAAACAAACGATTTGCATTCATACTAAGATATTTCACAAATGACGTTAACAAATTAATACAGTTTATTAATGTGGAGATCCGCAACAAACAGTATGCAGCTATCTTCCTGCTAGAAGTGATCCAAACTGTTGACCACAACCAGGATGGAGTATTTGCATGTAAGTTAGTTTCCTGACGTAAACTTAGACTTTATGTTTTCTTATTACCAATTCACTGCGTTTAGATGACAAACAAATGAACTGCACGTTTCTTCAACATTTTTAACCCATTATTGCACATATAATACTGCTAGCAGTTTCTTGCTTCATACTTCTAAAGCGCTGCCTACCTTTATGCCACGGATATTATAATCCTGGTCCAAACATTTCGTATACAAGTTACCAAAACAACCGCGTTTAACAGGAAAATTATTAAAGTCGAGATTAGAAGGAAATTTTAAAAAATCCAAATATTCTAGAGTAATCCAAAGATAACAACTCAAATTTGAAATTTAAATTTATTTATGTATTATTTTCTTTCATGTTCACACGAATGGATATGTTAAAGATAAACTACTACATATCTTTCTGATTTATATAACACTTTATCTGAAAGGCATACAGTAGACATATACGATGTGATGATAATATTTTTGTTAAATATTTATTTTACATTCAAAAGCCACCTTTTTCTGACTTATCTTTTAATTTTATGTCTTCAGAATTCTACGTGTTTTATGTAATTTTATGTAAATTCGAAAATGCAATAAATGCTGCAAAAATGAAAAAATTACGATAATTGGTATGTCTAAAAAGATTAAAGGCAAAATATGTAAAAAATTTACTTCTCTCGATGCATCGTTGTCAGAGGGGTTGGTGTGTTGAGACAAACAAATGGAACAGCCTGTTTCTGAACTGACAATGACACAAATTCGCTAAATTTAAAGCTTCTGTGAATGTGTTACAAATCTATTTGTGTCTCTTTGGGTCCAACCCCTACAGGTGGCAATAACAAGAGTTTTTACTCAATTTTTCGTGAATCCCAATGCAGTTAAAATTCAAATAATAGCATAAAAAGAGTTAAATTTTTTTTATTCTCATTGATTTAATTACAAAACATGTGGCTCAAAATAATTCTGCACCCACATACAAACAAAGAATTAAATAATGAACATAATAGAATGAATTTCATATATCATGTAACAAACTATTGTAAATAAAGAAAAAAATATTGCGTCAAAAATTAAAAATAAATCAAAATCGTAAAAGTAAAAACACTACAAATATTAAATTCTTGTTATCGAAATTCTGCGCTGAGTTAACCCTAATATGTGCTTCCGAGAAAACAAATCATTTGAACTGAAAAATTAAAGCTAGTGGTGTTTTTCTTATGAAAAAGGAAAAACTCTATAAGTAGTGTAGAATAAAAGATAGTGTATTGTGGTGGTGGTGTATTTAATTACGGCTAAGCACACTAGGGCTATCTGCCTAAAGGGAGGAATGCCCTTCGTGGAGGACTTTCTAAGGGAAACTGGCTCGTATACACAGTACACATGGGGAAAACCACGAAAACACCCATGCAGCCAGCCCGTTCGCGGGACTTCGAACCGAATTACCAGTGTTCAGCGACTTTACCGCTCGGCCGCTGGTGGGCGTAGAATAAAAGAAAAATGGAAAGATGTGAATTGATCTAAGTCGATCAGTGCATCTCTGAAGTATCAGAGCGGAGTCGTATGCATCAGTGTGGTAACTCTACAGTAATTATTCTAGTATTATAGAAAACCGCCAAATGAGTAAACTCATTTTTTGAGTTGAAGTCGTAGTGCTTTTTAAACGAGAGAGGAATTGCAATGTTTAATTTGCAAGAATGATTTCTTTTAAACGTGGTGTGGCGTGTAAATTTATAACTTTGAAAAAATTGAGTGAAGCAAATAAATTTGATGCTTAAGAAAAGAAATTTGGTTAAAGTATAAAGAAATAATCGTTAAATTCAGCCAAATATTACAATTCGATTGTGAATTTATAACTCTCCCTTGAAAATTACTAAGATTAAAAGCAACAAAACGAAATAATATGTAATTTTTTGCACAATAAAGGTTTTACTCTGGCAGGCCGCTAAAGTGAGCACATTTTCCTAAGTGAAGGCGAACATTAAACCTACTACTCAAAATTAAAACAAATGTAATGACTGTGATAATGTTGCGAAATGCTCATCATGCTGCGGTGAGATAACTTCCTCGCAAAGCGGTGCTAGGGTTGCCAGAAGGTGGAAAATAAAAATCAAGGTTGCCACATTTGGCGCGAAATCCCCCTTTTGGTAACAAAATTGGCGATATGTCACAGATGGAGCGAGAAAATTCTAGAACGCATTCTTAGCGGTTTTCTCGGGAATATTCTCGAAGGTAGGTTAAAGCTATATATATATATCCTGCCTGTGCGCGAGGTAGTAGTGTCTTGATATCAGAGATTAGCTTCTTAGCAATCGAGCGAGTGGAAAGCTGTATATCAGTGCTTTGCCGTGAAGCTGCCTTCACCGCTGTAGTCTGAAGGCTGTGTTGCTGATTGTTTCAGAGCGTTTATCGTAGCTTTTCGATGACTGAAAAGGTGTCTTTTGACTGAAAAGGTCCTGTGTAACAGTGCTTACTGGCGAATAAATTGTGTTTCGATTCTTCATCCAGTATTATCACAAATTACTCCAAATCCACGAATGCGTAGAACAGAAAAGAAAGAATGTTTAATTAAACTGTGTTAATGCTTTCAGTCTCTACTACTGTAAAGGTTTTAGGTGAAAAGTTTAAAGTTGAAAAATCATTTTTAGACTGACAAGTTTAATTTAGTAAGCTGTTTTGAAATAATGTTTTGGTGAATTTTCTTATTTTTTAGTGTTTTAACTAATACTCTAAGTTCTTTTGAAATACTTGACTGTCAATACTTTTATTTTTAATTCTTTTGGTTTATTTAAGTATAGCGCTTACCGTGATTTCTCTGGAGGAATTTAGTTGCCAATTAAAACCCTTAATTATATTGAAAGTGAAAAATCTTATTTTGTCAAATAATTTGAATTTTGTGGAAGTTGTAAATTTATAGATCTAAGTGATCGTGTTCATTATCATTGGTGTTAGATTTGTTGGCGTAAGATATTTTGGATAGATGCCTTAATTTTATTTAATTTTGATTAGACGGTTTGACAATCTCTGCCTATTATTAAAAAATGCACCCACTTCAGCACCTCAATTTCAAGGCATTTTTAATTTAGGAGTTCAAATTGTTTATTTGCTTCTGATCATATTTTAGGGTTAACACGATCCAATGCTTCAGTCACACAAGGATTTAACGTTCGAGGTGTTTTTCTAGATTCATTTTACGATTTTAATAAATTTTTATTTTTTGACAAGGTAGTTGTTTCCTTATTTAGAATAGTTTGTTATGGGATACTAATTAATATTATTACATAACGCTTATTATTCTGTTATGTTTACTATTTTATGTTTTGTTTGTATTTAGTTTCAGAATTAGTTTACTCGACATTTTTTCTATTTAAAGCAATGAAAGAGCTGTTTTATGCTATGATATCAACCTTAACTGTTTTTGGATTCGTGGAAAAATTGAGTAAAAGTTCTTCTTTGCAAGTGTTGAACTGTTAGAGACACAAATAGTTCTGCACCTTTTTTGTAGTTTAAGGAAGTTTTAAATTTAGAAAATATGTATCATTATCAGTTCAAAAACAAAACAGCCTATTCCATTTATCTTTCTCATTTGCATCAACCCCCTGACGAAGATGGCCTAGATATGTTTTATTTCTTCTCTTTTGAAGCATTTATTCCACTCTCGATCTCCTTTCTGGACTAGTATATTTAATCACAGTGGTTTAAAGCTTAAACATACGATTTTATTTTATTTATTATTATGTTAGCATGAACAGTGTTTAATATGATTTACGCAAATAAGGAAAAATTAAGTTCCTAATGCATAAAATCGCAAATATTAGTGATTGCGAAATAAATTATATACAGCTACATTGTTATATTTAAGCTAATGATAAAAATATTAATGGGGAAAAAAAAAAAAAAAAAAAAAAAAAAAAAAAAACTCGAAAGTTTCCTCGATTTTAGCTTCGTCTATTGTCCCTGAACATTGTGTATAAATGTGTAACAGGATTCTAAAAATTAATTGTAAATTGTTTTAACGTTATCGATATGTTTTGAATGCTCTTTATTCGAATAAGGTGAGAACGTTTTTCTTCTCCTGCATACATAATTTATTGAAAAAGTTAATCTTGTGGAGAAAGCTCTAAACACAAGAATAACTTTACCACATTAATGAGCTGCTTAGTACTGGTTAAATACAGGATTCATTGGAAAGCCTTTTATAGTGGTGTGAAAAAATTAAGGACAAGGTAACATTGGTATACAATATCGTCCCGGAGTGTTTCTAATAAGTATGATGCATACCATAAAATTGTCGAGATGCCAGGCTACGTAAAGGTGAACGGCCTAAAATACAAAGGCTAAAATAGAGCTTTATTTGAATGTGAGGTCTGATTACAGCATTATAAAAGACGAAAACTCCACTTTACAGGCAGCAGGAGGATGTGACAACTCCTGAATATTGCCTGTACATGTATTGCCTGTTTATCGCAACGCACTTTTGAGATACTAGGGCCAAGTCCTCTTGAAGTGCTGATCGCAACTGCGGAAGTTTCAACTGCAAATAGCGACATTGCATAAACGTATTTCCCACCGGTGGGCAAATTTATTTAGATCCGAAGATTATACGAGTCAATCCCTGAGGCTAATATCTTCACATCCTGTAAAAGCTACTGTAGGATAAGGCATAGACTTGTCTCTCATGAAGGGGAAATAATGGCTCGCAGCAGTCCTGAAATGATGCTCGTTAGGAGAACCTCGGTCTAAAATGGAACTTGTTAAGAGAGCCTCGGTACAACAGCTGTCCCCAGTGACTGAACCTCTTTAGAATATATGGAACTCCGTATTACCATTAAACAGTATGTCTCCCCAAACGAGAACTCTGCTTCCTACAAGTTGAAATCTTAATGGAAAATTAGTATGCGATCTTTAAAAGTTAGACGCTTGAAATCGTCAGTAAAAAGTATCCGTTTGCTATTTTTGAGGAGTACTTAACCCACTGTTGAGTTCCTCAGTCCCTGTGCTTCCACCGCCACAGATAGTCTGAAATAAATTTTTCATTGCACGTATGTCTTTCTGAGTATACAAATTACCTATGAGCTCTCTTATGATGGGTTTAAAAAGCGACTTCAGGTATTTAGTAGCGTGTTTTGTGATTATATTTCGCTGCGTGTTTCCATTTCTTATCGCCAGTATTTCATTACTGGTTTTTCGGGCCCTGTTCGTATTGATGAACATTTTGCTAAACATCAGTGCACCATACTGTACTCAATTCAAGCGCCTCTGCTACATTAACCACACTTCAACATTCCTGCATCTTTCCGATAGTTCGATCTCGAGCAAAGTCATCCAGAGTTTTGAATAAAACCGTCTGAAGATTTCACACTACCACAAATTGACGTCCTTTGCATTGCTTGGTAACTTCCATTGAAAAGCTGCACCAGTGTTCTTTACACTTTTCACACACAGCCGCAGTATATACTGTGAATGACATATTGTGGGAATATAAGCGTATGCTCTGTCGGAGTGTCCTCGGTGAATTACTGATTGGAATCATGTTAGTTCTACGCATTCGTCTCCCTGTTCTCCACTTCGTCTTTATTTTTTACCCACTGGTGTAGAATATACTGCACGTATTAGATAAATGCATATTAGAGATGAGTTCTCAAGCATATCAACCAGTTCTAAGTTCAATTAAAATTCAGAAATGTGCAATAATTTTATGGAATTTGTAACAATAACCTGCAGTAATTTGTTTTTATAATATTTTTCTTTCAGAGGGCTACTGGTTTCCTATCACATAGTCTCACAAAATCGCCGAAGTATCAACATTCCTTACTACATATTGCACAGAATTTGGAGGTAAGATTTTAACAAAGTTATGTCAATCCTCCCACTGTCAAACGAAAAACTAGAATTACCAGTCGGATCATTTCCTATAAAGTAATTAATTTATTTATTTAATAAAATAAATTAAGTAGATTAAAAGACTTTCACCTAAAATAATAACATGAAAAAAGAATGAAAAGATGAAAAACGAATTACACAACTGAGCTTCATTTTTTATATATAATGATGTTTATATGACTCTTTCGTGCGTTTTTCTTTCATTAAAATATTACCAGCTAAGAAAGAAAAATATGCAAAGCGCAAAATAAATTTAAAATTTCTTGTAAAATATGAATTACAGTAATAAAGATTTTGAAAATTATTACATTTACATATATGGCAATAGGGATATTTTTTGAACTATTGTGATAATTGTGTATTCTAACATTTTCTATGCTCTTGGCTAAGCACAACCGGCTTCATGTTATGCCTTCGAACTGCTCAATTAATTTGTTTTCCGAAAGAATATACGTAGCTCTATATTATGATTTTACTACTCATCATAATCTATTTCTGAAAACTTCATTATACTTTTGGTCAACTATTTATTTCAGCTTTTAAATTCGTTTCAACATTTATTTCACCTTTATTTTATAAGATTAACATAATTTTTTTAAAGTATGAAGCACAGTTAACTCTGTTTTATCCACCTTTTAGGGTTCTGCCAATGGTTGCTATTACAATCATATGCTTCTTTATGACTTTTCATTTAAGTTACGGGCCTATCTGGCGTGAAAGTTTTATCAGCTATGCGGGAGACTGTGAAAACAACTGGTGGAGTAATCTCATATTTATCAATAATTTCTACAGAACGGAAGATTCGGTTTGTATCTTCGTTGTTAAAATTCATTTAGATTACTTATCCATATACAGGGTGATTCTAAATTGTTTTTACAAATTAAAAGAGGTGATAGTATCCATCCAGACGAGCAATAATTACCATAGAACAAAGGGTCGCATTCCACTCTGAGAAGCAGAGAAAAGCCAGATTAAAATTCCAACCTGAACTTACAACATTGTTGGGAAAGCTAACAACAAGACCAAAAGTTCCGCAATCAGATTTATTGTTTAGTGAAGGAACGATTGGCACACCCTCTCGAAGATTCCTGGTGCCGTGTTAATTTTGAAGGCGGCAACAGCAATTCTCGCCACGAGATCTTCAGCTGAGTTCACGGGCGTCTCGTACACTAAAGATTTCATCTGCCCCAGAAGATAAAGTCCAGTGGGTCGAGGTCCGGTGAGCGAGGAGGCAAGACCATAGGTCCGTCACGTCCGATCCATCGTGCGGGATATGTGGCATTCAAAATGTTACAAACAGTGACGGGAAAATGTGCTGGGCTCCATCTTGCATAAACGGCATGTCTCCCTGGATGGAGAGCGGAAAAGCCTGCAATAAACTGGGAAGTACTTGTCCCAAGAAGATATGGTATGTTGCGACGGTTAAACGGTCTGGCATGATGAAAGGGCCTACCAAGTAATCACCTAGGATATCTGCCCAGACGTTTCTGCTGGAGTTTATGAGGGGCAGTGCATATTTGCAGTGGGGATTGCTATCAGACCAAACGTGTTAATTGTGCACGTTGAAAATGCTTTCTCTGTTGAATGTTGCCGCATCATTAAATAATATCAGTGCAGGAAATCGCGTATCGTTAGTCCTCATTCCAAGCATCCATTGCACAAAGTCTGCTCGGCAGGGAGAATCATCTGTTCGCCTGTGTCCAAAGATCGCACTTTTTGCACGTGGTAAGGGTGCATGCGTTCATCGTGTAAAATACGCCGCGCCACTGGTTGAGAGTATGTGCCACCGTATGATGCCATCGTATGTGCCAGCGTATGATTCGATATTTCGGCGTTTGTCTGGACCATATGCGCCACCGTATGATTGATGTAAGGTGAATATCTGCCAATTTCTCGTACATGTACTCCGCCATAGGATTCACGAAAAGGTTCGGACAATGTTATCAAGGTAATACTTGAAGCGATGATGTTGTGCCGTTTTCAAGAACACCGTTTGCTCTGATTGGCTTTCTTCGCCACCAACCAAGAGCAAAATGCTGCTTATTCTCAGTGAAAATTTGCATACGGTTAATTCTGGATAGTCTTAGGAGATAGCCTCCTTGTTCTTCCTCGATGCGTTTCTACTTTCCTCTTTTCTGCCTCCCAGAGTGGAATGCGCCCCTATACTCTATGGTAATTATTGCTCGTCTGGATGGGTACTATCATCCCTATTTTAATTTGTAAAAACAGTTTAGAATCAACCTGTAGATATGAGCCTATTTAAAAAGCACATTACGCACAGTATAAAGTGTTATTGTAATTGAGATACTCAGAATTTATTCTAACAAAAATGTCTTTACCAATTTGTTACACCCATACAATTGCATATTATTGTACCCATTTGGTTATGTTATCGTTAGAATATTAATGTTGTAATCGTAATGTACGAATGGTACAAATATCTAACTTCTTAAATCATTCTATCATTGATATTTAAATTACTCTTTTGCTAGTAATATGAGCATTCTGCTTTTTTCTTCCTTCTTTCGAGAGTAAAAATGTAAAATATTACGAAAATGCTGCTTTTCACTTTCCGTATTTGAAAGGGCACTAACCAAAAACTACTGCGTACAATCAATGGAACTTTTTCACAAATAAGTCTTTCGATAACAGATGCCAAAATATATAATGACTATGCGGCTTAAGTGTGAATTTGGCTATGAAAAAATACAACTAAGCCCTCCGTTGAGAAAAAAAGGAATTACTTTCCAAACAACCCAATAGATAAAACAGAGGGTTTGCGTTCTATTTTTCTTAGAAGGAATAAAGTCAAATATTTAGTACTCCAGTAATATCGTTGACACTTTCTTTATGTTGCTAGAAGAAAATGTATGTGAGATGAAAACACTGCACCAATCAAATATTACAGTTGGTAGAGAAAGTCATTACTGCAACTTCTTTCCTCGGGAGAAATTCATTCAGTTACCAGTATAGGTGTTTCTGCACGCAAATTATTGTTGAAGAGTGTTACGTACTTCATACTTTCTTTTGTATCAATGCAGATGGATTTTGCGACCATCATGATTTCATACATTGTTATCGCGTCTGAAATATGATTTATGTCTAAACTTGCAGTCCTCCGGTATAGTGGCGTTAAACACAAGGATGCTTGCGTAGAGTGCAGTACCCCTTATAGAATTTTTTTTTTTTTTTTTTTTTTTTTTTTTTTTAAGTTTCTAATTCAATTCTAAACTTAAAGGTAAGTTACAACTTTTTGATTTTTTCCCTTAACTAATTAAATAAAGGGAAGAACTTACATCTTGTGGATAAAAATAATGCGAAAATAAGGAAATTTAATGAGAAAGCTGGCAAGCTAGCAACAACAAATGCAAGTTACCTAGAGCCGGTACTGGTATAACAAACATTACTAATACAGAACAAAATTCACACAATGCGAAACATACATACAGAAATAAATAACACAGAATATGTAACCAAAAATAAAGTGGCATTTTTTTCACAAACAGTCATCTTATTAAAGTCAAAGGTTGTTTACTGTTCTTAGCATCATTAAAATCACAATTATAAATATTGATTGAAAAATTTAATACACTGTACCGCTTAACATTAAAATTCTTAGCAAGGTGATAAAAATAGGTTCTAATTTGACGGATTTTTAATTCTTCGTGAATTTTGCTGGGACTCACGTACCACGAGAAATTCGCGATTTGACGTAAAATACAGTTTTGTGCAATTTGCAGTTTTCTCCTGCTAGTCTCACATGAATAAACCCAGACCGTACAGACATAAGAAATCATGGGATGAAAAATAGGGGGGTTCATAAATGAAAAATTTATTATCAATAGATAATAGCAGTTTGGAAAGCAGTCGCCTCATCGTATAAAAGGCATGCGCTGTACGGCCTTTACCAGTCTAAGTTTGTATTAATCCCAGGGCTTTATGAAGAATGAAGAATAAAATCCAAACCTATGGAAAGTCTTTGGCTACAGAAGTACAAGATAGATTTATAGATTTGAGCGTAGAAGATAGATTTATAGATTTGAGCGACTCGTAGAAGCATGACTTTTTCCGTAAATAAGCAATTTTCATGGCAATTCTGCACGTTGACAAATATAAGTGATTATATAAAGTAAAGTAAAGTAAAGTAAAATTATAGTCTTGATAACAATATGTACATATGTCCTCGATATTTCTGCGTTTGTCTGGGATCATGCTGCATTTTCGAAGCACTGATTTTTATACCTTCTGCTATAGAGCTCGTTGGGCTTTTGAAAAAAACTATAAAATGAAAATACGTTAAAGTCTATACCTGCTTTGATAGGTGAGAACAAAGTCCATTTCGCTTTGGCAGATTATAATAAATAATAATGAAGTAAGAAATAAAAAAAAAGAATAAATATATACAGACACTACAACCTGGAATTATAATGGATAATGGGTGGTCTCTTTGTGTTGTCGCTCTACAATGAAGTCTTGATTTCCTATGTTTGAAATAACTTCTTTGTTATAGTTAGCACAATTTAGAAAGAAAAAAAAAATATATGGGAGTGTTTCAGAAGTTCCGAGTCTGTTGGTTTTATTTTTAAATCGTTGTATATTGTGGAGTTTCGCACCGACTGTGGTGTATTAGTTATTATCCTTAGAGCTTTGTTTTGAAATCTTTGAATTTTTGTTCTATTAGATCTAGCGGTTGGTGCCCAGGCAGGAGATGCATAAAATGAAATGGGTCTAATAGCTTGTAAGTATAGGATTCTCTTTTGTGGCTGTACTGAGTACTTTTGTGGCTGTGTAGAGTTCCTTCCAATTAGTGCTATACTGGTTTTATCACAGATGTAATTAACATGATGCTGAAATGTTAGTTTCCAGTCAAGATGCACTCCGAGATATTTAACACCTCACACCGTGATGCCGTCCATTTGGATATTTTTCAGAGGGTTTTTGGATGGATGCTTTTAAAAGTAGATGACTATGGATTTTTCTGAATTAATTTTGATCTTCCTAGCTTCGAACCGGGATTATAACTGATTTTGTTAATTAACTGATTTTCATCATTGCGTGGCCAGGATCCATAGACTTGTTTAGTAGTGCTGTGTCATCTGCGTAGAACGCGATGAGTGCTTCATTGAGATAGTTGGGAATATTATTGATGTAGATGTTAAAAAGTAGTGACGCCAAGACTGAACCTTGGAGAACTCCAGCAATAATATTTTCTTGAGTTAGAAAGTGTATCCTTAATTTTAACTTGAAATGTGCGTGAATTTAGATAACTGAAGATGAGTAAGGTGATTTCAGGTGGAAAATTATAGCCAATGAATTTGATGAGTAGGCTTGGATGCCACACTCAGCCGAATGTCTTTTCAATATCGATCAAAAATTCCCGCTACCATCTCCTTTTTATTGAAACAATCTCCGTTGTATTCTACAATGCGGGTGATCTGCTGAGTTTTTGAGAATCTATGTCTGAAGCCGAATTGATGGTCTTTTTTTCTTCTTTGAACTTTTTTATTCTGCTGATGATAAGTCGTTCATGTAATTTTTCTAGAGCTGAAAGTAAGCTAATCGGTCGGTAATCCGAAGTATCAGATCCATTCTTTTCGGGCTTCTTCAGTATAGTAATTATTGCGTGTTTTCAGCAGTGTATAAAGAGATTTCCGTTAAAAATACTCCACAGTAAAGCGAATGAGAAAGTAACGCTACCTATCGGCAAAACTTAAAAAAATTAAGATAACAGAATTTTAAAACCGTTATTAAAGGCCTTCCTAACGCCCATTGCTTCATCAATCTTGCAGGTTTCTTTGCTCCTGATCAAGATACACCTGTACCTGTTTGCCCTCGAAATTGATTGAGATCTGACTGAGATTTACGCCAAACTCAAGGTTATTGTGTTACTAATTTTATGAAAAAGATGAGTTCCTTTTCTGTTACCTGGACTGTCACTGGTGATCTTTACTTTCTGCCAATTCTGGCTGATTACTTGGTTGGCATTCACTTCACATTAATGTGAAGAGAGTAATAATAAGGAGACTACATCAGCAGAAACATCAGTTTTTCTTGTCTAATCTAGACGAGTTCATCATACAATGAGAAATATCTCGATCTTCAAGATAATTTTGGATAAGATGCTTTGATGCTTTAGTTGCGTATTCTCGTGTTCAGCAGGAATTTATCCTGCTCTTACCAGACCTTATCACGGAACCCCATTAGGGGCCTCATACATAACGGTTCTTCATAATTGTTTCACCATAATGATGTGAACACTTGAGATTAATAAAATGAGACACGTTGTCTATGCAGACTCACTGGCAGTGAGAGTGCAATGAGCTGGAGTCCAATCAGAAGCGAGAAAATACTCATTCGAATCCTACTACGCAGTAGTAAAATCCTGAGCATGCTTTTCAATACAGTTAATTTGAATGAAATACTCCTAGTACGCGGACTGGGCTGATGTCTGCAGTCTGCTGCTGATGTCTTGGCTCTGCATTTTCTGACATTCGTGAAGAAATGATGCGTAGGGCCTGATATTTCTGTCCTCGTCGAGTATTTCATAGGCAAAAAATGTTCGAAAGACAGGCTGACGTATTTCTGATGGCCTTGTCATAAAATTTTGAGTTTAGTCTGTGCAGAAACTCGGAGATGAGCTCAACTTTGAGGTCATCGTGAATATTTTTATTTCGTACATAGTACAAGGCTCCAGTAATAATCCTGAGAATCTTATTCTGTATTATCTGAAACGAGTGGATATCCTTTTCGCTGGCATTTGTACATGTTGGAAAGGCACATAATTTTGGAGAAACAGTGCTTCACATCTTGTGCATATTTTACAAATATTTGTTAGCTACTGGATATTCTAATCTTTTATTCAAGTCTGTGATCTTTCCTTCTGATTTTTCCACGTAAGCAAGATTGAAATGCTACTGTTTCCACCTAATGCACTAAATGTTTGTTTCTCTAGCTAATAATATTCAAATAAGTATTACATATTATTCTTTTTTTCTAGTGTCTTCCTCATACTTGGTATATTGCAAGTGATATGCAGATGTACATAGCTGCTCTTATAATATATTTGCCTCTTTTGAAGTAAGTATTTGATAGCTTTTATTTTGAAATAAATATTTTACAGAAGTTTAAAAGCTTTTACTTACATTTGAACTTATACTGTTTCGTAAACGATTAGAATTTAACATATACTAATAGGCAGTTATTTCCCCTTCAGTGCCTGAGCAAAATAAATTATTACCCAATGCTTAGAATTAACTATGGATAGGTTTATATATAAATACTCTAGTAGTCTGAAGACTTGAATAAACATTTTGTAAATTAAAACATAAAATAAAACGGTTTTGGTATTGGGCTCGCTGAGCAAAATCTTTCACGTTAGAAACAGCTGTGTTTGAACCGATCAGTTTAGCGATGAAGCGAGGGCTCCGAAGTTAACGAGTTCTGTGCTCTACACAGTAACATCAGTCAAAATAATGGTCTCAGACAGCATTATTAGTGAACAGAACAGAGACCTTAACAGGTGCTCTTTATTGGCAATCATCATCCTTAATGTAACTAGTAATTGGTTAAAAATACCGCTTTTAGAAGGCACCAAGAGATCGGCAAGATCTAGAAACAACATGCGGCGACCACACCAAGAGATCACATCCGCACTATACTCCCTCTAATTATCTTTTAAAATTATTCTACATTATGAGATTGCCATTTATGTTTTATGTTGGGGAATGCGTTTATACTAGATTTGAAAATGTAATCAAACATTAGGTCTTGTAAGTCCATACGTAATTTTTACTCACTAGATGAAAAAAATCAGACATATATTTTCCAAGTTTTTGCTAAAAAAATGATTTTAATGATATATTTTGGTTCCAGTTTTGTAATTTTATAATTTCTGAGAAATGTTATTTATTTATTTCCTCACTTATTTGTTCACTTCGAATAATTATTCTGCAACCCTAAAGCCAGATTCTCTCTCTGTATTTTCTCTCTCTCTCTCTCTATATATATATATAGTATATATATATGTGATGTACCAGCTTTAGTCGTAGCTTAAATTATCAGACGATAAGTTTTTTTTTAAAAAAAGGCTCCATTTATTATTATCCAGGAGAAAATAGCAGTTACAAAATCAGATATCCGGAGTAAAAAAAAAGAATTACTAATAACTTTTTGTATGAAGTTTGCTGCATCGTGACATTTAAGAAAAAGCCCCCGATATTCCTTTGCGAGTCCTTTTATAGCCTCTGGAAAGGCGAAGCTTCCAAGAATGACGTCAGCCTCGTCAGCTAATCCAGTTCGCTTTAAATATTTCCAGAACATTCTATAACTGTACGTGTAGAAAAGGCGGGAAAAACAACTTGACTACGGGGCTGTGGATTTAATTCCACGTACTTTCAAATACGAGAACGTCGCCATTAAAAATGAAAAGAACATACAGTTAGAATTTTAAGTGTATTCTTGACTATGGAATTTTATTATTACAAATATATATGCATAGACAGATAGATGAAAAAAGGAAAAGCTAAATGCTTAATGCTTAATGCTTTTCCTTCCAACTTAATGCAAGATTGTGGATAAGTAGATGATTATCTTTGTTCAAGAACGTTTCACATACTAAAATAACATAAGAGTGGAGAAGAACATGCAAGGTTTGATAGTTTCACACGCATATTTACGACTCACTTTTAAACATTTAACTTAAAGCCATTTGCGATTTATCATTGTTATAAAGTTATCTATTATTATTCAGCTGCATTTGTTCGTGAAAGTTGTACCATGCTTCATATTTTATTTATTTATTTATTTAAGTCACGTAGGAAAGGAGTAAACTTATCTTAGCTACATTAAGCATTAAGCTTTTAACCTTATATTAGCAATATTAATGTTTACGCTTAAATTTCTTAAGTTGTTTAAGATTCAAACTTTGCATTTATAAACGTGGCTGGCAATGGTTGGTTATCTATCATGCGTTGTTTTTCTCCCGATGAGACGGCGCATGATAGATGATATTTTCTGTTATCAAAAGGTTACTAATCTTATTTTTACTGTTTCAAAGTTGCATATTTATATTTACCATTTGCTTTGTACCTCGATAGTTATTTTAATTTCGATCTACAGTAATTTGTTTCTAGCAACAGAGAAGTGTTTTAATTTAATCTTTCAAGTATTTTAATTTATCCGTATTCCCATGTGCTGGTTGGATCTAAATTAAAGTTTTTTATTTATACATTTTATATTTTGATAAAAGTTTAATGTTTCATCAATTTATAATGCTGTCTCATTTTAATGTTCACATTTTGCCTTTGAATTTACATATTTGTCCCTTGCGCCACAGCTATTTCTTTTGAAAGAAAACTTATGGATAACCCATATAATTTCAGGCTCTTGTAGACGTCGTTTCAATTCTAGTAGAAAAGGTAAAAAATAAATAAATAAATAAATAAATAAATATCAAGAGGGAAAAAGATTGAAAAAATTAGATTTCCAGTGATATGTTAAATAAGCTAGAAAATAATCCGCAGGATTAACGTTAAAATTATATTTTAAAGTAATATCATGATTATAAAATAAAAATAATTTCAAGTTTTCAAAAAACTGCTGTAAACATTTTAACATAGCATTAATTTTCAGAAAATAGCTAAAATGGAAAAAACCAATAACTGAATCAGAGCACAAAATTTGATCATTGCGTTTTCATACAGCTTTAATAAAATGGATGCAGAAAATTATTGAAAATTACTCTAAAAATTACTGAATTTAAAAAATAAAAACCTCTAAAAACTGCCGAAATAATACAGCCTTTAAAAATTGCTGAAATTTTATCAACATATCGCAAATATTTAACAAAAGCATGTCTTTTTGAAACCTCGTTACACAGAAAAATGTAGTAATTAAAAGAAACGGAGTAATAATAGCAAATACGAATACAGTTCGTTAGTGGGCAATCGAAGAATGAAAATTTATTGTAAAAAGCTAAAAGCAGTAAATGGCACTTAAATTGAATAGAGTGCAAGATACTTTGCCATAATTTTGGATGTGTTCTTCTCGTATTTTCAGGCTATGTATAATTAATTACTAGTGGAAGTATAACTCACATTTCTATTAATTGTTGTTAATCTGGTTCCAGAATGAGTGACATTTCTTATGAATATCAGATTTAATTGGCATGTTTGAGGCAAAGTAAGGTTAATGATCAATAGAAGATGTAACATTTGTAACTCACAGTAATACCGTAACAATAATCCCCATCCTTTCAGTACTCACAATTATTTTAATGCAAAAAAATACTTAAATTTTTGCTCCTATCTATGGGCAGGTATAAATTGAAGTATTAAAAATTTTTAATGTTGAGAACTTTTACGTGGAAATACATACGCAGGTGTTATGGTGAAAAATCAAATGGCACCAATATGTTATAGAAAAAAAAAAATCATGGTACCATATAATTGTTATAGAAAAATCATATGGTTTCCTACTCTGTTGACATAACACTTAAAATTTTTTAACATAAATATATTAATATCAATAAGCCCTGTACATTTTGCGTTGTGTTTTCGGATTAACCCTGAAATCAACTTGAGAATGAGAAGGGTGAAAATCATGAGCACACACACAAAAATTTAACCTTTGAATGATCTAGAAAAACTTATTTATTTAACTATTAATGCCAATTATAAATATATATATAGATCCATTAGTCAAAAAAAAAATATCAAAATATATTCAACAAAATTTGAACTATTGTTTTACACATTTTACATCCTTGTAATTACTATTAAATTTAATATTGCAAATCTGGTAAAACATACCAAAATAAACTATAAATTTAAGAAACACTACCCTCCCCGGGGAAAAATAATAAAAAAAAAATTTAACAAGCTACACTTTCTACTTCACACAGAATTCATCAATACAACAAAAATATTGCTTAATATTGCACTCAATATAATCATTTAAATACTATTATTGCACATAACAATTTTATTTATTTAATTTTTTTTCTTAGATTAATTAAATATGGTTTTAACCGGATAAGATAAGTATTGACTCATTTACTATTCTACAAACAAGTTCGTCCTGAGAAACAAGAAAGCTCTAATACAAGCACTATTTCAAATCATCCTCACCAATGAGTAATTCAAAAAAAAAAAAAAAAAAAAATATTAAGGTAAATAATTTCCTGAAGAACTTAATTTTCTTAACCATTAAGTTAAGTTACAATAATTTTAATAAGGTTATAAATCTTTATTCCATTTAAAGCTTTTACTTGATTGATACACCAAGGGAAAATGATTTCTATAGAGTTAGGATAAAATTATCAACTACAAAAAAAAATTTAGGGTTCAACAAATTAACAAATTAAGTTAATTCAATCATTTTAACTGCAGGAATCTATAATATTTAACTAACCAAGAATTAACCAAAGAGAAAAAGGGACTTATCCGTTAAGGATCATCAAACAAAAGAAATCCATCGAAGCTCATGAGGAATGCTGGCAGCCTGTTGAATGAAAAAAAAAAATGTTCGTCGAACAGTTTGGATTCAATTACTGTAGCCTAGAAGTTCTAGTAGATTTTAGGATGAACAATTGAGGTTCCATTACGGCAAGATAAGTGAAATACAGTGCTGGCGGCCTGTTGAATGGAAAAAGATGTTCGTAGAACAGTTTGATTCCTTACGGTAGCCTTGAAGTTCTAGTAGAATTTAGGATGAGCAAATGAGGTTTCCAAAAACAACGGTTTTTAATTAACGCTCTGGTCTCGTGTGAAACGAAAAATCAATGGTGCGCATCATTTTTCTAGAAATTTACTTCTGTATATTTTCCTTGAGATACACAAACACCCGCAACAAAAACTGATGAAAGAATTTCGATTTTTTTTTTTTTGAAGACATAGATGCCCATACCTACGGCCCGCGCTCACAGCGCTTAGCCAAGAGGCCCGTAGGCCTATCGGGGAGAAGCTCCATTTTCTTCGTCGGAGTCAGCTGTCGCCTCCGGCCAATTCAAAGGGCAACAGAAGTAAAGTGCAAAAAGTGTCAAAAGTGTGCTCGTAATCTAATCGGTATCTTTTACAAAT